TTAAATATGAAAAAGTTTTTTTTTTTGTATTGCCCTTGTAGGCAGACGAGCATACGGCCCACCCGATGGTGAGTGGTTACCGTCGTCCATGGACTACAGCAATACTAGGAGCAGAGCCAAGCCGCTGCCTACCGCTTAATACTCTCCACAAGCCTCGTTTGAAGAAGGACATCTCATAGCGCTCGGGAAACACCGTGGAGGAGAGCTCATTCCATAGCCGGATGGTACGTGGCAAAAAAGATCTCTGGAAACGCACTGTGGATGACCGCAGTAGCTCCAGGTAGTATGGATGAACTCTACTCCGGTGGCGGGCGGTGCGATGGTAAAAACGAGATGCCGGTATCATCTCGAACAATTCCTCAGAGCACTCCCTAAGAAGTACTTAAGATGCTTGAAAGCTACAACAAGGTAATACTATAAAACAGTGACTTTGTCCGGACGACTAACGTGGTACTTACTTCACATGTTTTTAAAATTTTGAACTAATTTTAAGAAGTTCCTAGGATCTTCCATTATATCGATTATAGTAGATACCATTTTACCTGAAAGAAAAAAGGTTAACAAAAATAAAAATCAGATAGGTATATAATTCATTTATTTATCTATACATACTTTTTACATCCAATCATTTATTACAATTTTCCTATGGTTTTTTTTTAAATTATTATAAACTGTTTCATTATTTTATTAAAGCTTGAATTATTTACAATAACAATAGATATAACAGTTGTCTGTACAAGTTTCTTATGGGACGATCCATATTGATCATCCGCCTTAAAGGATATTTAATGGTCTGTAGAAAGATAAACAGAAAAGCATTTTGTTTTAGAAATTAATTATACATTTGAACTATAATAATCGACACTATTTTGTGACTAAAGTTTTGTCATGTCACTTCTAACACATTATTTTATACCACAATATTATAATACACTAAATTTGATTATCAACTAACTGTCCGCCCGCAGTTTCACCCGCGTAGATTATACTTTTTACCGCGAAGTCAGACAGTGTAGTGGAATACACTTCTTTCTTTCCCTCTACCTGTGAAAGCTATATCAAAAACTGTTCAATAGTACCGAGGATATGCGCAAATAAATAAACATTCAGACAGAGAAAAACAATAAAAAATATTACCAGTTTGTATTTTACTGCTCTGCTTTTGTTACGCCCTTACTTTGTTTAAATACTACACACACCGCATTCTCTGTTTTATTATATGTACACAATGATAGTGAAATACGACATCGCTTCACTATGATTAGCGCTAATGGATGAAAAACACCCTTCCGTTAAAGTTCACGTGCACTATCCATTCTAAGTACCTTAATAAAAGGACAACCGTCCTTAAACAAAGAACAACCGTACAACATTTCTAATTAATTGGATGAAAGACGCACGAGCGTATTGATCCTGAACAAACAAATAATCATTTCTATAGAGGACGTTGGTCATCATCATCATCATCATCACCATCATCATCAGCCCACAGTCATTCACTGCTGGACATAGGCCTCTCCCAATCCACACCACTGTGCCCGGTCTTCTTTAAAGGGCGTTCAAGAAGACAAAAAGCGAATAAATTATAAAGGTCTTATTCATAATTCAAAGCATTACACTAAAATGAATAAAGCCACGCGAACTCTTACTGATAGTATGGCGTCTTATGAACCACCACCACTAAGACGCGAAGCAATAATGCGTTCTGATTTGATGGGTGAGGAGACGGCATAAATACAAATGAGACACAAACCTCAGAGGTGAGCGGTAGCATTCATGTCAAAATTTTTTTCTGCCTTAGCTGACAGCCTTGAGGGGCTATGTCAGCGTTTTCCTAGTGAGTAGGTGAGTTTTCATGGCTCAAACCGAAGGTGTTGCTAACACTGGCCCTAATAAGAGCAGTGCTTTGCAGAATCTAAAACAAGATCGGAAACGCGACCCGCTGAGAAGATCCGGCGAGAAGCTCAGTAGTAGTTTCTGTGGGTTAATTTACTCGCCGAGCCCTTTGTCGCAAGCGACGGGTTCGGCGAGGATGGTGACTGGTTATGTCCAACGACCCACTATCTACTAAGTACTATATGGGCCGCTACCTACTCTACTTATTGAGGAAAAAAATTATAATCCCCTAATTCACGTTCGAAAATAGAGATAATATGATCAATCCTTTTGCCATTACTAAAATCCGATTTAGCAAAAAATCTTTGCAAACTTTTTTCGTTTGGGTGCTGGCTTTGAGGTAATTTGTTGTAAAATTACCATGTAACGAAAGGTGGGCGACACTGTTATAACTGTTTTAATATCGGTAGAATTAGTTCAATAACGCAACCCTTTTTAGTTGGAAACGAATTTTCGAGAATTTCTCCTGTGAACTTATTTTAAAGCTTGCCGAACTCATTTATTGTTTCTCTTTTATAAAGCTCCGAAATGTATTCGTGGTGAACGTTAAAAATAGAAGGGAGCATATTGGGTTATTAGTCAGAACAGTGGTTGTACACCCCCCGCACTCTTCGTCCAAGCGTCCGATCCCCTCCGAGGTCAGAACCCGGATGAGGTAAGGGGGGCAGTGTCACCGCACTAAGTGTTTTTTTTTAGAAAGGAAAGATTACTGGTTGCCCGGAGACCATTCCAGTTCCACAAAGACATGTAGTCGAGCATGGGTTTAGTCGGGAGGGATGTGATTTACTAACCAACTAGCCTTGCGCCTCGCATGAGGACCTAAGTTCAGTCGCAGCCGCTTCGCGAATGCATTTGTTTATTAATTGCCAAGATGAGTATCCAAACTCACAACACGCCTAGTGTTAAGTGATCACTGGAGTCCATAGAGATCAACCACCTCTTAAGCCGAAACGCATTACTAGTTTACGGCAGTAATAGGCAGGGTGGTGGTACCTTCCCGTGCGAACTCACACCCTACCACTAATAATTAGGCAAATTATAAATTTATCGGGTTTGACTTTTACTACACGATTCTACTCCTTCACTGGTGAAGTCATTCTGAAACCATTCCTCGCTGAATACTTATTCATCTGCTTTAACGATTCCAAAAGTAGTTATTCAAATGCAATAAGTGCACAAATTTTTTTTTCATCAGCTATGTAATCTTATCAATAATTCCAACAATAGGATCCTGAGATATAAAACTCTCTGAATTCGATAACCAGCCATGTAACGTCTTAAACTTTTGATCAATATTATGCGTTTTTCGAAATTAAACTAAAGTGTCACGCAAATCATAAAACTGAAGAAAATATTTTACTCTAAGGTAATGTACGCAAGGCGTATTTAATATTATTATAGTCTCGAACGATTTTAGTCACCGTGTCGCTTACGAGCATTGTTAAGGAGATATATTTATCTGTTTCTTACTATTATATGAATATTGTACGTACTTCGCAAGTCACTTTCCGCGTTTTGTATTGCTACTCCAACTGCTAAGTGTTTCGTCTGGAGTTAAACATTAATTAATCTCTCACAAAATGCTTTTCTGTTTATTAAGTATTTATTTACAAAAGTGAAGTTTTCTTGATTGCAGTGACGTTGATATTGAAAGCGTTCCCAAAGCGAAGTTGATTGGAAGTGGAGAATATCATAAAAATCTTTCCATTTTAAGTAGGTACACGATTTTCTACTAATACTGTTTTTTTTTTTCATTAAGGAAGTAGTTCTTGTCGTTTCAGCTTTGGTGATTATTTCTGTACATTCTTTATTTAAAAATCACAATCAGGAACAGGTTTTTAAGATTTTATTTTACCAAAAATATTTACAATATAAGAGATACAGCATGTCTTACATCGCAATGCAAATGGCAATCGGCTTTAACTTAACGATTGCCTAAATCAATATTAGCTCCGGAGCACATTTTCGTCTCATGTCTGACCAGAAAGATTCTAAAAGGCGCCGGAGTGTACTTTACGTCTATAGATATTGTACAAAGCCTCGTAAGCTTCTTTTGGAGTTAGCTTTCAGAGGAGACGGATAAGCTTTTCTGGCAGACACGCCCTATAACAAGCGCCTGCACTTGTCTATGTTGATGCGAAATTTTGAGCCTTTTAACGATTTTAATTTCGGTATTTATTTTAACTGTTTCAAATAATAATAAAATCTTGGTCACCACAATCAGCGTACGGATTAATTTCTACATTCCATTTAATGGAACGCATAAATTCGGGTTGGCACACCTATGAAGTAACAACAGTGAAAATATAGAGAAGAATACATCAGTCATTAAAACAGGGCCTTTTGGTTCTATATGTCCGAGAACACAGCGTTTATAGAGTGAAAATGAAACCATCCGATGAAAATTATAAAACAATTAATATATTTTTAATACTATTTTATTAGCTTCAGACGTATGTATGTTTGTAACGGAATCTTTGAACATGATTTTGACCCCCTTCAAAACGTCGGATTAACTCGAAATTTGGTATACTTATTAAGGACCGATGACAATTCAATATTAAAACATATATATTGAAGTTTAATTAAAAAATGAAAAATAAATATTAGTTTAAAAAACTAACAAAATACGCTTTTATCGAAAATCCAACTAAAAAATAGAAAATAAATTTGAATTAAAAGTAGTGTAAAAATAGTAGTAAAATTCGTTTTTTTAAACTATTATTTATTTCGATTACAAATTGAAGTGTAGATGATTATGAAACTATTTTGAATTCCCAAATTTCTCCTAAATCTGGCCACTTTTCTAGTTCTCCGAGAGCAACAAAAAAATTTAAATCAAAATATTATGATATAATTTTATTAAAATACCATATTATAGCTCTTTTACCAGAGGCGAGAAACCAACGATTCTGCTAAAATAAAACAAGTCTTCGGTAAGAATGTTAGTTACTCTGATTTGATAATGTATAAATTTTTTTCACACACATGAAACAGCCCCAAAATATCAGGAACTCATGAAATCTTAAAATTACGCTAAGAATCCGATAAATCATAGTGTGTTTAATTTACAAAGAAAGATAAATTTTGAGTTAAAGGACGGGAAAAAGATTCACTAGAACGCAACCGTCAGTCTGATTACGATGTAAGAGCAACCGAGCAGTGACGTCAAATTCTTGTAAATAAGTAACGACGGGAGCTTAAGATAAAGCTGGCCGCTCATCTTATTGAAAATCTAATCCTTGTAGCCATATCTACGTCAGTCATTCATCATGATCACCCGAAAAAGTTCCACTAGGTTCCTTTAACCAACAACTAACTTTTTAAATTGCAATCTATCCTACTAACAGCCATTTCAGCGCATAAATTCTCTGCCGTATAACCCATACTATAATTGTGTTCATATTCATGTGGCTACATAATTTTATTAGGCCATCAATTACAGCAATTTCTAAGATTTGCTCTGAAACTTTCTCGAATGGTTTCAATTACACCCTGTATATTTTATAACCAACTAACGAAATAACAAACATAATTATCTTAGTACGGTCGGAAGTAAAAGCGTTACGAGTACAATCACGTACAGTCGCGCTGGTGACACTCTGGATTGTGTGCCGTTTACACCTGCAAGGAAAAACACAAATTATTGTTCGCCCAAAAAATACACAGCCGAATTTTTTTGCTGTAAGCATTCTGCTGAAAATAACTTTACATCTTTATTTTTTTGGGGACAAAAAGTTAATTAAGCTTTTTTAATTTTGCGACAGTTCTCAGTTGTCATGTAACATTTCGTTTTGAAGTATTGTGAAAAATTTTCTCGTGTGTAAACACATTGATGAGCAACTTATAGTTATCAAAGGCATTACGGTCCACCAGGTCATGAGTGGCCTCCATCGTTCCCATATATCTGCTTATATATTCTGCCTATAATAGAGGTTACAAACAAACTTCTGCCTACCGATAAGATCCCTTAACAAACCTCCGGGTAAAATAGAGAGAGACTGTACAGCGGTGGTCCAATGGTCAAAGAAGGCTCCCAATCGTATGTGCCCCTATTTCTGCCATGAAGCAGTAATGCGTTTCGGTTTGAAGGGTGGGGTAGCCGTTGTAACTATATTGAGACCTTAGAATTTATATCTCAAGGTGGGTGGTGCATTTACGCTGTAGATGTCTATGGGCTCCAGTAACCATTTAACACCAGATGGGCTGTGAGCTCTTTTTTTTATGATTGAAATTTTACTGGTGGCCCGAAGGCCTTTCCAGTTTCACCAGGCCAGGTGAACGAGCAAAGGCTCAGCCAGAAGGGGTGGGATTTGCTAACAACTGCCCGAGCGCCTCCGAAGGAGATCTAACAACTCAAGAGCAGCTGTGAGCTCGTCCACCCGTCTAAGCAATAAAAATTAAAATAAAAAAGACTACAGATTTAGTCTTGACACAATGACAAGCTGAACCTATACTTAGCACTAGCCTTTAGCTATGCAAGGACACCGCTTCGCTTTGTTGACGACTCCTAAGTCTTTAGAAGTTAATTCAGCTTTATATTCCAAATGACTGTAACTGAGTACTGGTCGAAATATCAACCCCACGCATTGCAATACTTTTAAAAGCTTGCATACTATATATAAATTCCTTTAAAATAGTAAACTTCTAATGCTTTTCTTGTTACTTTATTTTTCTTATTCCTTTTATAATTCGATATAAGTGTATAAATATATATGAAGAAATCTTACAAAGTACACTTTTTTTATATATATTAGAATTAGTGCCCATTGAAAAATAAATACGTCTAAAGCTTTCTCTTTATTTTAAATCGACTAATAAGGTATTTTTGATCATGTTTTTTTCAGACAGACGTCTAAGCCATTTTAACGAGCTACAAGAAACTTTCGACTACTCGCCAATTGACCAGCTAAGGGTGTCATTAACTCCAATAAATCTTTAAGTTTTCAGCTCAATAAAAGGTTTTAAGCACCGCGGTTGATGTTTTCAATAAACTAAAAATAATATAATTTTTATAAAAAATTCGATGTACGTTGAGTATTGAATTACTTAGTTCACTAACTAGCTTCAAAGTTGGTAAACCAAAAGTGTTTCTGACATCTTAACAACCACTAATCTCCGAATTAAAATGGTTATAAAGTTTATATTATAATGTCGATCAATAGTTTTTTTTGTTTTTTTTTTTATAAAATATAATCAACGAAATCCAAACAGATCTTGTATTCATAAACAAATTTTTAATTTTATTCAATAGGTACACAAAATAATTACTGACAAAGGAATATTTTTCTTTTGTGTAAAATCGTTTCTTTGCGAGCTCATCCAAATTCGAGTGAATTTAATATGAACATTTTACTGGTAATAGTGTTTGGTAATTGACACTGATGGACACAAAATTGGTTTACAAACAGAGGATACAAAGGTACTGAATTCTCTTGCCTATGAACTATATATTGAGGTGATAAGGTTTAGTTTTAATTTGCTTGATATTTAAAAATAAAAGGCGTGTGCTTTGTGTATGTAGCTCTTCTTGACACTGTCAAAATGATTTAAAATGATACAAACGTGACAGTGACTGGCCGTGTAACATTTAACATGTAAAGTGCATTAATATGATATTATCTATACATTAATGCAATAGCAGTGTTTGGCAGAATCTACCACCGGATCGGAATGGCAGCCCACTGAGAAGATCCGGCGTGAATTTCAGTGGGCTGTGTCTATGGGGTAGGTCGCTCATCAAACTCTTCAAGCTTGTCGTAAACAACAAGTTTGACGAAGACGGCGACCGGTGCTTGAAGAGTCTAAAAGCACAGATAGTCGATTCGGGGGAGGGGCCAGACATGCTTCGGGCGACACTGGCTTTTGGGTTGCCTCGTCGCCTATGTCAGATATGTAATTAGCGGCAGCCACGATAAGGGGGTTAAATCCTTCACCGGCATATCCTTTTTCACACAATCCATGTAGCTCTTTTTAGGACGCCTTTTCAAGTTTTTTTTTTATGTATTACTAAGATATTATATAATCTATATATTAATACGCGAAGCAAAAACTTTGTTCCTACCCCTTTTTACGAAAATTGCACGGACGAAGGATTATGAAATTTCCCACACTGATATTCACAAAGAAAGAGTGCACAATGCAATTTTTTTTTAAATGAATTGTGCATTAAAAATACATTAAATCAATAAATAAAAAACATTACACACACTACCATGTATCTGACACACACGTGTACTCTTTGTTTATTGTCAAACCTTTGTTATTTTTTAAAGTCTGTGGTCAAATTGAGAATAGGTTAATATTGTTTATCTTTAATATAGTCTTTAATATGTCTATAGTCTAGTCTTGGTGAAATTTGTGATTATAGAAGTATAATGGTCTTTGACAATAGAACCATAATAATGTTCAAACTTAAAATTTCAAATAATTAATAGTTGAATTTCGACTACTGCAGGACCACTAGTACAAATAAATATGATAACATTAAAATTAAATATGAAACCACACGCGCAGTATCCTTCATCGCATTTCAATCACGAAAGTAAAACTTTCGGTTTTGCAGGAAGAGACGTAGAAAGCATTTCAGACCTCAAAGTCACGCCTCAAAGTGAACAGTGATCACATAAAAAAAACACCAACCAACATTTTAGTAATGCGAGCATTACGCACAGCAACGGGTGGGGTACCACCCTTCGAACCGAAACGCATTACTACTTCACGGCAGAAATAGGCGGGGTGGTGGTACCTACCCGTGCGGACTCACAAGAGGTCCTACCACCAGCAGACAGTCATCACATAAAAAAACACCAACAAACATTTTAGTAATGCGAGCATTTTAAAGGATATTAATCAGTAAAACTTTCGGCTTTGAAGGAAGAGACAGCAGATAGCATTTCAGACCTTAAAGTCACGCCTCAAAATGAACAGTGATCACATAAAAAAACACCAACCAACTTTTTAGTAATGCGAGCATTTTAAAGGATATATAGGGTATCTCATACTACTATTAATCGGTAACCTAGTTTCGAAATAAAGCAATTAATTTGTGTATATGCTGATCAAATCAAATCAACAAACAAACAAATCAAATTAATTACTTCCAATAAATAACCGTTAATTAGTCACCGTAAGCTTCAAGTTCAAAGATTTCATGTACATTGTTGATCGACTATTTGGTTATGATAAGAAATATAGCCGTTAAAAATTTATATATATATTTTTTTCATTGCCCTTGTAGGCAGACGAGCATACGGCCCCCCTGATGATGAGTGGTTACCGTCGCCCATGGACTTCAGCAATGCCAGGGGCAGAGCCAAGCCGCTGCCTACCGCTAACCAAGCCGCAATCTATATATCTACAATATTATCTATTAATATCTATTATATCTACAATACTATTAGAGTTAAATTTATTTCCTTGTAATTTCACGTATCATAGAACATATTAAAATTTCTGGTAAAGTTTAATCATGTTAGTGATTTAATTTGCTTGAAACTATAATATTCAAACTATAGTACTCGGAACGCAAAATTTATTTTAAACTAGCGACCCGCCCTCGCTTCGCTTCGGAAACATTAAATTTAATTATTGATAGCTGAGCTCCGCGATGCTACCCGCGGTTATTGTCGTACCGCGGGTGACGCTGCGGGGCGAAGCTAGTCTAAAAAAGTAGCCTGAGTTAATCCTTATATCATCAGCTACCTATTAGCGAAAGTCCCATCAAAATCAGTCCAGCCGTTCCAGAGATTAGCCGGAGTAAACAGACGGACAGACAAACAAAAATTGTAAAAAATGTTATTTTGGTGTATCGTATATATATTCATATGCATGTAGTAAAAAGCAGTTATTTCAATATTATAAACAGACACTCCAATTTTATTTATATGTGTAGATGAAAAGTACTAGGAACCACAAACTATTCACTTAAAATAAATTTTAACGATATAATAAGATCCAACATAGGCCAATAATAGGTTTCCTTGAAGTAGCATATAGTAAAGTAAAAACGAAATCGAAAAGAAATTTTAGACAGTATATTATATTATTATTATTAGTGGTACCACAATAGTTGAAATTCGACTATAATTAATTGAAATTGTAAGTTGTAACATTAATATGGTTGTATTGTCAAAGACTTATACATAGATTATACACTTAATATATGGACTCTTCCACCGGATAAAATCGTTCTAAGCAGTGATATCGAGGCGCTGCTCGGCATGGGGAGCTCTGTCATTCTGGCGGGCGACCTAAATTGTAAACACATCAGGTGGAACTCACACACCACAACCCCGAATGGCAGGCGGCTTGATGCGTTAGTCGATGATCTCGCCTTCGATATCGTCGCTCCGCTAACCCCGACTCACTACCCGCTAAATATCGCACATCGCCCGGATATACTCGACATAGCGTTATTAAAAAACGTAACTCTGCGCTCACATTCGATCGAAGTCGTTTCAGAGTTAGATTCAGACCACCGTCCCGTCGTTATGAAGCTCGGTCGCGCTCCCGATTCCGTTCCTGTCGCGAGGACTGTGGTGGATTGGCACACACTGGGCATTAGCCTGGCTGAATCTGATCCACCATCGCTCTCGTTTAGCCCGGACTCTACCCCGTCTCCT